GCGTGTGTCTGTGTGTGTATGTGTGCGTGCATGTGCGCGTGTGTGCATGTGTCTTCGTGTGTGCGCGCATGCATGCATGTGTGTGCACGTGTGTGTGCACGTGTCTGCGCGTGTGTGTGCATGTGTCTGCATGTATGTGTGTGTGTGTGTGTGTTTCAGATGTACAGCATAGTGGTTAGACATTGGTATAACTTACGAAGTGATCCTGGGATAAGTCTAGAACCGCCTGACACCATAGTTATTACAATAGTATTGATGGCAATCCCTGTGCGGCACCTCACATCCCAGGACTGTCCTGTAATGGCCTTCCTCGTTTCCAGTGAGTGATGGAGTGGGTGGCAGGGGAAGGGGTCGGGTCAACAGGAGCTTAGGGAAGTGTGTGTGCACGACTCCGCCTGCAGAGGTCGCAATGGCCACTGCACAGGCCTTCACGAACCTTGGCTGAGGGGCTCCCAGGACCCGAGAGCTCAGAGCCCGGCTACCATCCTCCTACTCTGTGAACACGACAAGCCCTGCTGCCATGTGGCACCAGCGATGAGCTCTGAGCATCTGCTGTGAGGCATGCAGGCAGGAGTGGGACAGGGTCGGGGGTCATACATTTGGTCAGCCAGGGCAGAGGGGTGTTCCAGGAACATGTGTAGCAGGGACCCCTGGAGAAGACGGTGGAGACAGGGGGACTGGTGGGTCACAGGGCTGTCTGGGCCCCTGTGATGGGCTGGACAAGGACTTTGAGAGCAGATGTGACCATCAGTGAGTACTACACAGGGCACGGCTGCCAATCAAATCATGAGAGGGCCCAGGTTAGTTAATGTGATGGGAGCCAGGAGGCCTGGGAGCCAGGAGGCCTGGGGCTTGGGCCTGCGATGGGGCATTTCTCTGTTTTCCTGAGCCACCTCCTCTCTGGGCTTCGGTGGCATCCTTCTGGAAGGCGAGGGAGCCAGCCCTGTCTCCTCGTTCTACATTCTAGGATCCCGCTGTGGACATGGGTGCACTTGCCTGTCCCATGCCCCGTCCTCTCCGTTTGGTTAGTGTCCTTGTCCGGGCTTTAGTGATTGCTTCAGGGGATTGAGAGTCATGCTGTGGGCAACGGGGGGCTTGTGTAAATGACTCCAGTCAGTGGTGGCTATGAGACGACTGCTCAGGACCAAACCACAGCTGAGTGTCCGGACCATCGCTCACAGGAAAGGTGACCACATGACAAAGATGGGTACAACCCACCTGCCCCGGAATGGCCCTTGGTCCCCAGGTGACCCGGAGCAGAGGCTGTCCCTGTGGGGTGCCAGGTGCACAGAGGCTGCTCAGTGCCTCCCAGTTCTAGGATTCTCTGCCTTTCGAGGTCCTGAGATGCTCTGATGTGGACTTTGAAACCTACAGCACTGACTCAAGTTAACACGCCCAGCAATTGATCTACAGGGGGAGCTGCTATGTGCTGCCTGCATGGGGCGTGGGTTGTTGTCAGCCGCCCATGTGACCAGGTGGGGTCCGGGGGGCCGGGCAGGCTCAGGAAGTGGGGTGGCGGGGACTGCCTGCCCTGGGCGGGGGCCTTTCCTGGGGTGCATCTGGGAAGGCAGCCACCAGAGGCAGGTGGGTAGGGTGGGGCTGGCAGATCTGTCCACAGGTGGCGCTAACCATCCCTCTTTGCCTGGGGCCCCAAGGCAAGCTAAGTAAGCAAGATGGGTGACTGGACACAGCAGACCACGAGTCACCTGGGGACCAAGGGCCATTCCTGGGGCTCAATCCCCAGCAAGGAAGGTGCTGACGCCGAGTCCCGCCAGACCCACCATGGAGGCCGAGACTAGGTTTATCTTGGAACTGAAGAGGGTGGACCCTCAGGTGAAGGCTGGAGCAAGGGCTGGTGGAGGGGGTAGTGGAGGGAGAAGCAGATGACACCAACATTTCAAATTAGAAAGTCAAAAAGTCCATGTTTTCTTCTTCGTTTTATTCTGCTGCAGGGTTGTTCCTGTACCAGGTTTCTCACCATTGCAAGGTGGGTAACAATGTGATGCCTGGCCCATTACGGGCCCAAGTCAGAGGGAGCTCTGAATTGTTGATATTGACATTGAAAATATTGACATTATGTTCCTAGACCCGAGCATCATGGAACCACCTCTCCGTCAGTTCCTCATCCTGTGTTGGACAAGACAGACCCATGGACGCCCAGCGGGAGGAAGCAGCTGCCGGGGCAGCGCTCACCCTTAGCCCAGCAGAGGAGCCTCAGGGTGAAGGCCTCAGGCCATCAGTGCTGGCCAACAGGAAGTGGTTTCTGTTGGGGCAGTGTGACCGGGCCATCTAAGCTGGGCCTCCGGCCTGGACACTGTCTGCAGCCAACTAGGTCCTACCTCGACCTCCTGCTCCAAGGTGAGCTGCCGCTCCAGGCTGCACTCCACCATCTCCGTGGTCACTGGTAGCTTCTCAGGCAACTTGGTGCAGCGCTGGATCAACACGGGGTTGCAGCCGTTCAGGAACTGGTAGCCGAACATGACGTCTTCCTGCCAGTGATTCATGACCCGCTCTGCGGAGGAGAGAAGTGAATCGTGGCACCACCTGAGATCTCAGGGGGGCAGCCTGGGCTCTGCCGGGTCCCCTCTCCCAGGCACTAGAGAGCTGGCTGACCCCGGGCTCCACCTGCCCCAACCCCCCGCCCATCACTGGGTCAGGCCGTGACACCTCCTGCCCTCCCTGAGCTCCCCTTAGAAGTTTCCTGGGCACCCTTTTCTAAAGTACAAAAATAAAAATAGGATAATGGGATTGCATTAACCTGAAAACTGCACAGCAGGGAAACAGCAGCGTGTGAGGCAGGCTACAGAATCGGAGGAAGTGTTTGCAAAGCATATATATATATATATCTATATCTGACGAGGGGTTAACGTACAAGATACATAAGGGACTCCTACAACTCAACAAAAGAAAATGAATAGCTCAATTAAAAAATGGGCAAAGGACTTGAACAGACATTTCTCCAAAGAAGACACACAAATGGCTAGCAGGTGTATGAAGACATGCTCAGTGACTGGGCCCATCAGGGAATCAAAACCACCTCACACCTGCCAGGATGTCTTACACAAAACTAGGCTAAGCGAAAGGCAACAGTGAGGATGTGGAGACTGGAAGCTCGCGCACTGTTGGTGGGAATACGGAAGGTGCAGCGCCAGGGAACATAGCCCAGTGCAGGGGGCGGCCTGGGCGAGGGGCGGCCTGGGCAGCCGGGCCTGGCAGGACGGCCTTGCTGGAGCAGGACGGGAGGCCCTTCCCATTGCCAGGCAGTCTCCCCAGCACCGCCAGAGCCCCACAGGCACACTCACCAGAAATAGTGTTGCTGATCTTGACGAAGATTTTTTCGAAGTCGGCGAAGTCACTCCAGGACGACTGGAACATGTGCATGAAGCGGTTGATGAAAAGGTTCTCCATCCTGCACGCAGGGCACAGCGTCACCGTGAGGCTGCGGCTCCCCGCACAGCCCTCACCCCCTGGCTGACCGAGCCTCCAGGTCCCGCCTGCCCCGCGGGGACTCGCGCCCAGGGCAGCTCCTGCGGAGAGCTCCTTGCAGAAGCAGGACCGAAGCTGGCACCCGTGCCCCCCATGCCCTCCCCCCTGCACCTCCCGGGTGAGAACTTGGCTGCCTGCCATGGAGGACAGTGTGCGGCGCCTCTAATCCTGTGCGTGCATGCTTCTGTCCACGCATGCCTGCTTCCGTCTGCGCTCATGCCTTCATTCATGCTCAGTGCAAGCTTCAGGGACAGAGGCCAAATTGCCTATGCAGCTGCTCTACCGAGTCACCTGGATTTTGGGGGGGTTAGAGGTTCAGTTGAGTTTAACCCTTGTTTACTTTCTACTGAACCCTGGCTCTGTGCCTGGTGCTAAGGAGGACAGTCTCGCAGGGCTCATTGCACAGGATAGCAAAATAACCCAGGACGGGCGCTTGATGAATTACAAGTGCAGGCTGTAGGCAATACAGAGGGAGCTCTGAGCCATCCTAGGGGCTCCTGGAAGAGGCAGATTTGGGATGGGCCTGGGAAAGGTGGAGAGGAAGGGCGGGGTTTCCCAGGCTTCCCCGCAGAAGCCAAGCAAGGCACAGGTGTGAGGGATCTGCCCGGTGCTCACGGTGACACACTCTGCCTCAGTTTCTCTCTCTGACACATGCATGGCTGAGAGTAACAAGCTGGTACCCGTTCCTCCCCTCTGGCAGTGCTTGCTGCCTATTCCTCCAGTGTTCAGCCTCCTCACGAGCTCGGTCTTTTGTGCATCCTGACACAAGCAAGGGCCTTTGCACGTGGGGCTTGCCCTGCAACACCCTGCGTGCCTCTTTCCGCTCCTGAGCGTATGGGGTGAGTATACCCTGAAGGCTCCCCCAGCGTGCCCCCACTCCTCCTTCAATTTCACGGAAGCTGCCCCTTCTGCAAACCAGGTTGGCCCTGTGACGCTCTGGGCAGCACTGAAGGAGTTTACATGCACACGCACCTGCTGCCTTAGCTACAAGGCGGGTCTGCATTGCTCAGCACCGAGCCCGGGCCCCTGGCACCAGAGGGGCCCAGGCAGCATTGAGCATGGTCTGAGGGGGTGGCAGAGGCTGGGGCCATGGGACCATGCCAGAGGTGCTCCTCCAGTGGGATCCCCTTCCCACTCCAACCCAGCAGAGCCAAGCAGAGCCAGTAACCTCCCCCACGGAAGCAGCCTGGTGAGGGCCCAGCACTCCCCCCGGACTGTCTCCCAGGGAGGTGGGCTGTCTTTGTCTGAGCATCCTCAGGGGAAGGTGTGAGAGTCCCGAGGCCTCCTCAGGCTCTCCCTGACCAGCGGAAGGAAAGGACTGAAGTTTGTGTGTTTTCTCAGAGTGAATCTGGCTTGCAGACTCCAGTTTAGCAAATGCCTTTCTCTGGACTGATTGTCCTGGGAGAGAGGCCTGGGACCTCTGTGAGTCTCCATCCTCCTCAAACTGCCTGCGGGTTATTGTGATGCTGTGATGCCCAGAGGTGCTGGGGCCCAGCAGGGCAGTGGTGGCCACACACAGTAGGCTTAGCATCTCAAAGCCAGGGAATAAGGCTGGCAACATCCTTCAGTCCATGGCCAGAATCATCATCACGTTTATCCCAGCCCCTCATAGGGCAGGAAGAGCTCTGAACCCATGTTTGTCCTACATCCATGCTGTTCTACACCCTTTCTTGTCTGACACCCATGCTTGTCCTATACCCATGCTTGTCCTACACCCATGTTTGTCCTATACCCATGTTTGTCCTACACCCATGCTTGTCCTATACCCATGCTTGTCCTACACCCATGTTTGTCCTACACCCATGCTTGTCCTACACTTATCCTTGTCCTATATCCATGCTTGTCCTATATCCATGCTTGTCCTACACCCATGCTTGTCCTACACCCTTTCTTGTCTAACACCCATACTTGTTGCAGCCTCCACTCCAGTAGGCAGGCTGCTGAGGCCCAAGAAGGTCTTAGCATTTCCCTCACCACCTTCTTCTAGCTTCCCTGTTAGTAAATCTCTGGGTACAGAAGCCCTTGTTAAGCTAGAGGAACAAATCTCTCTTGGCATCCAGTGTCAGTCTGAGTGTGGAAAGGACATGTTTCTGGGAAGGAGAGGCCTGTCCAAGTCCCTACAGTCCCTACTGCCCTGAGGTTGCTTAGTGCCAGATGGTGCCAGGAAAGAGGTGCTGGACTCTGCACCCTGTGGGGAACCAGGGGTGAGTCACAGTCCACAGTCCAGCCATTCCCCCTGGGAGTGGTCAGTCTCTCCAGCTGGGCCTCTGAACTTGGAACAGGGTGGGTGCGGCCGTGTTCAGCGGAAGCTTCAGATCCAGGAAGAAGGGGAGTTAGGAGGAAAATATTTGCATGGCCTCTGGAGATAAATATTTCTATGTACTTACAGACAACTTGATACAAGGGACTTAAAGACCTGTTATTGTGAAAAGAGGAAGCTGCGCCAAGAGAGGGCACCCTGCTTGTTCAAGGTCACACAGCCAGGTCACAGCATGGCCAGGTAATGCACAGCCAAGTGGATACCTACACCGTGCTGCTGGCCGGGCCTGGGGCAGGCAGGAGCTCTTGTTTCCTCTACTTCCCCTGCTCGTTCCCTTCTAATAGCTTCTTCATTTTCCATTTTGGTTTTGCTGTTTGCGGGGGCAGGGGAGGAGGCAGGGCAGGGCATAAAGCTTACTGAGGAAGGCTGGCCTTGACCCAGGCAGAGCAGGTGGCTCGGAGGAAACGGGTCATTGCAGTTACTCAGAAGCGCTGTGGAAACCGCTGCCCAGAGGCAGAGGCCCAATGTGGAAAGCCCTTTTGGTGACCTCAGCCACGAGTTCCAATTCTGCATAGTCAGGACTGCGCTTAGCCGTGGGCAGAATGACACGGCGGTGGCATAAGCCTCAGGGCACAGAGCAGGCCCTGGGTCTGTGGATTCTACCAGGAACCTTCAGGGCAGAGTAGGCTGCCAGGCACGGGTTTGGTGCCCTTTTCCCATCAGACCATTAGGTGGTTTAACCACATGATCTTGGGGCCCCCCACCCGTGTGCTGGGGTCTGGATGAAAAGGACCCTGGATGGAACCCCAAGCTGGGCTCCCCACCCCAGAGCACCAGAACTGAGAAAGGTGCCCACATAACATCTGGCTGAGGAAAGCAGCAGGGTTGCTGTCTGCTAGAGAGAGATAGCTGGAAATTCAGATTCCCTCTTAAAGGGCCAACACAAAATTCGTGAGCAGCCACTCCCATGCCTTTCCAGGAAGGTGACTGGGGTCTGGGTGAGGGAGAAGGTGTCCCTCCAAGGAGCTACCCATCCAATCTCATCGGATGGGAAACGCATAGTGGGTAGGGGTCCGAACACCCTCATCCTGGCACAAGGCTGGTCCGTGCTCCCAAGCTCAGTCACCTTCCTGCACTGCCCTGTTCTGCTGGGAAGGAAGCTCTCTTTCTCCATTTCCCTTAAAGAGGACACTCCCTTATCAGCCTGCTAGCCACCTGCAATCACACTTCAGACCGCAAACAGTGAGCAGTGAGTAAACGTAAAATGCTCCTCCTTCGATGCCATCGAGAAATTTCACAACTCACCTGTTTTTGTGAGCAAGCCCAGCCACGTCCGGACTTTGCATATGGTACTCTCTGCCCCAGCATCCTTGCCTCACTTCTCTGTCTGCTTGGCCAGGAGCAAGGCCAGGCCAGATGCCCTGCTGTGAGCCTTCCTGGGCCCCATAGTGAGATAACACCAGAGCGGATGAGGACAAAGGACCCAGACACATCTCAGGTGGCCAAAAGACATATGAGAAAATGCTCAAAGTCACTGATCATCAGGCAGATGCAAATTAAAACGACAATGAGGTACCACCTCACACCTGTCAGAATGGCTGCCATCAACAAATCAACCAATGACAAGTGCTGGTGAGGATGTGGAGAAAAGGGAACCCTAGTACACTGCTGGTGGGAATGCAGACCGGTGGAGCCATTATGGAAAACAGTATGGAATTTCCTCAAGAAATTAAATATGGAACTGCCATTTGACCCAGTGATCCCACTTCTAGGAATATATCCTAAGAAACCCAAAACACCAATCAGAAAGGACATATGCATCTCTAAGCAGCACAATTTACAATAGCTAAGATCTGGAAACAGTCCAAGTGCCCATCAGTAGATGAGTGGATTAAAAATTGTGGTGCATCTACACCATGGAATACTACGTTGCTGTAAAGAAGGAAAGAATATTTACCATTCACAACAGCATGGATGGGCATGGAGAGCTATGTAATACTTTCAACAATAAAGATTAACAAAATAAATAAAAAAAGAAATGTAGAAACTGTATTATTTTCTGCAATAAAATAAAATATTTAATAAAGTGTCAACAAAAAATTTAAAAGTAACTCCAGGGAGTGGGGCATGGTGGCCACTCTCACGGCAGAGCCCTGCCCCCTAGGGGAGAGCCTGGAGCTGGCTTTGGAGAGGATGAGACATGGGAGGGGCTGGGCATTCCAATCAAAGAATCCGCTCTGGGCTGAAACAGCTTCGTTTGGTGTCGGGAGTCTTCCGGTTGTAACTTTTCATACAGGGTGCCCTGTGACTGTGCGTTGTGAACCCACTCTATGACCAAGACCCCAGCGAAAGCATTGGGAAGAGATGCCGGGCTGAGCTGCTCCCTAACCCCCCTGCAGCCCTGGCCACGGAGGAGCTGCCCGATGTCCGGGAGCCCGCCCACACTTACGCTTTTGAGTAGTTCAGAACAAAGTCCACGCCTTTCTCACTATCAAACTGGATGTCGCGAGGCAAATCCTTGTGGCACTTGGCGTCGATACTCAAGGGGAACCCAGGGTTCCATTCCATCCACCTGACAGGCGAAAGGAGAAGAGCGCGGAGTAAGCGCCTCAGCATGAGACTGCCCCTGTGCCTGAGCACGTGCCCACCCCAGGCCACATGACAGCTGCTGTGCGTCCAGCAAGGTACTGCACCCCTCCCCAGGTCCCCCGCAGCCACTGTGCTGAGCATCACCCAGGAGGCCCGAGGCCCTGAACCCGAGACTGCGCTTACAGCCAGGGGCAGCGAATGGGAGGCCTACACACTGTGTAAAGGGGTTGAAAGAAAACATCAGGAGAGGGGGCACTGAGCAGCGAGGCCCCCAGTGCTCTCCCTGGCACAGAGCGGCCTTGGTGGGCACCTGTGGCTGCCCTGCCAGGCCTGACCTGGGCGTCCACAGTCCCACCAGCGGCTCAGTGCACCCTGAACTGCGTGTGGTGGTCACAGTGGTGATGCCTGCGTGGTAGGTAGGTTCGGTGGCGGGCGGCTAGGTGAGCCTGCCGCTCCCACGGGCACAGAGAGCTGCCGTAGCAGGTGCAGGGATTTTTATAATCAAAGCAGGCCCCTACAACAGGCCAGGCACTTCCCCAGCCAACGTTCTCAGATCCCGGTGCCCTTGAAACTTACCCCACAGCACTGGACGTTTGTGTGGTTTTTTGAAATTTGACTTTTCTTCTTGTTTATAGTTTCCTCAGGGCAGGGAGCATGATCTTATAGTTATTTAAACGCCCAAATCTACATCCTGAGATTCCAGCTCTTCCATTTACATCCCTAATTCTCCTTCCTTTTACATCTCTCTTATGAGAGGAAAGTAAAACTTGAGATTTTATTAAAAGTCTTGAGTTCCTTTTACCGTCACAAAAACCTCTCCTGTTTCTCGGGTGGTGCTGGCCCGGAAGCCTCTCAGAGTCACAGGTACAGAAAGGGCATGCGCTTGCCCCACACCCACCTGCGGTCCCTCTTAGAGCAAACATGTCACAGAGCATGTTCTGTTTTCTGAGTAAGTCCTGGCAGAAAAAGGCTACCTAGAAATATACTGATTATATTTCAAAGTGTTGGAGAAAAGAGTGTGTGTGTGTGTGTGTGTGTGTGTGTGTGTGTGTGTGTGAGAGAGAGAGAGAGAGAGAGAGAGAGAGAGAGAGAGATGGGGGTTGAGAAGGGAGGAGGGGGGATGAAGGGACAGAGACAAGAGAGAGATGCTCCCACAAGCTCACAAACTTCTGGAAGAAGGGCAGGAGAGTAGATGGGTGTGGGGCAAGTACATAGCTGTTCAGAGGAAATTCATTGAACAAGTTCAGCCAGACAAAATGAAATTAGAATGAACCAAGAAGTTCCTAAATATAGTGAGAGTATTCATCTGAAAACAAGAACAAGTCTAATCTTAAACAAGCAAGCAAATAAATAAACAAAAATATCAAAGGTATTTTATCAAAAATCAAGACCCAGAGAGAATGTTCATCATTACTATTATTACTTGTTTTGGGGAATTTCAGCCACACAATATGCTAAAATGCTAATATGCAAATAGAATGAATGGTGGAATGACTGGTGGCTATGATGTGCACTGACCACTAGGGGGCAGATGCTCAATGCAGGAGCTGCCCCTGGTGGTCAGTGTGCTCTCACAGGGGGAGTGCTGCTCAGCCAGAAGCCAGGCTCATGGCTGGCAAGCACAGTGGCAGTGGCAGGAGCCTCTCCCGCCTCCGTGGCAGCGCTAAAGTTGTCTGACTGATGGCTTAGGCCCGCTCCCCATGGGTGTCAGTCAGACATCCCCTGAGGGCTCTCAGACTGTGAGAGGGCACAGGCCAGGCTGAGGGACCATGCCCCCAGTGCATGATTTTGTGCACCAGGCCTCTAGTGGAAAATAAAAGACAAAATTATCATCACTTGAGTAATATGACCAAACAACTAAGTAACTAAAGAGACTCATTAAAATGATGACTGCCAATAGAAGAGTTTAGTAAGGTGTCAATACAAGGTAAACATTTTTTTTTAATTATTAGTTAAGGTATTACAAATGTGTCCTCATTCCCCCCCCCCATTAACCCCCAACCCCCCACACACACTCACTCATGCTCCTATCCCCCTGTTGTCCATGTCCATTGGTTAGGCTTAAGGACTTGGTATTCTTAAAAGAAGGTAAAATGTCTCACTAGTGATTTTTATA